TCGAAATTACCAGATTATTTAAAGAACTGGGTAAACTTTTGTGGCAATATCTTTTGACGCAAACCGGGCCCTGCCGAGTAGCATTTATAATAGTTATTTTTAAACTGCTCCAAGTATACAAGTTTAGAAGTACTGGTCAGCTCGAAAAGATGTACTCTTATGACGCACTTCAATGTCTGTGTTTAGAGGATCGACGTTTCCATCCATTTATATCGACTATAGATGGCTCTATCCAGAAGCTCTCACATGGATACCGACTAAAGTCGGCGTTGGAAACGAAAGGGATAATAAGGGAATATTTGCCCAACGCTTACAAGCTGTCGATTGTCAAGTTTACCGATTTGTTAAAAGTACAAGACCACACCGTCTACTGGAACAGCCAGACTAACCGCTTCTCGAAGTTCAACCTGACGGTCCGCCATAGACGAGGACCCCGATCCGTAATTTCGACCGCTAGATTCGCCTCTCTGCGACCGGTCGGCGAATTTTCTCGCGCTTTCTTCGCGCATATCGTCCCTCTCTTTAGTCCCTGTCTCCGGTCCATCTCCGGTGGTCTCTCGCGGGCTTCGGTAAAGGGTTAAAGGGGCTAGGGTCGGTCGACGACCGCCAAAACGTCGACGCTCGGGTGTCGCGGGCGTCGAGCGATTCCGACTCTTGTAACCGAATGTGTGGTCCATGCTCCAAGCTTCGATTCGATGCTCACTGGCCCTAAAAGGAGCCAGTCGGCAAATCTGAGACAGAACCTAGCCTTTCGGGGCTCCCGGTCCGTTTGACAGTTGAGAGAGGGAAATCCTTACGAAGGGACTAAGGGAGAATGAGAGAGAGACGCCCGGATGGGACTCTCCTTGCCTACCGATGATGACGAAGACTCATGAAGACGACGTCACCTAGGGGCGAGTAATCTACCATCTACCTAACCTACTGTCTCTTAGAAAGTCTTCTATATCGTCTTTTACAGTATTAATCAGAATACCTTGTAGACCCGCCACTAGATATGCGCGCGCGAGCTCGCGGTTACGACGAGACTCTTCACCAGGAAATCCATCGACCGATTCAAATCTAATCTTATGTTATCTAATGTTATGTTACTGCATGTTGTCAAGTGCCAGTACTTGTAGGTAATTGTCTTTGCCTATTTCATAACGATTTACAACGTTACAAATGCAGAATGAGGATAAGTACAAATTTAATTCTTCTCCAGACTCCAATATTCCGATCAACTAGGTCAACGATTCCGTTGGTGATCGAGTTGAAATTTTAACTCTACTTTGAACCTACGTAACTTGTACGCAAGCCCTTTTTTAGCCTTCTTTCACTCGTTAAGTCTTACTTCCCTGGGCGTGAAGTAGGGATGTAATCTTACATAACACGAATTTAGCCCTACTTTAGATCTAGTCGTTCGTTTCAAATTTTACCACGTGAATAAAATTACATGATTGTGTTTTTTAATTTTTTTTTTTCACCGAGGGAGGAACAAAACGTGGTTCGATGAAAGCAGGGTGGAGTCCAGTCGTGGCCGCGTTGCACCGCTACGTAAGAGCGTAGAATAATTTAACTATGCGTCAATTAGTGAAAAAGTAGTCGAGTCGTGGTTCATCAGAACCGCGACGCCCTAGGCGTCGAATTTGATCTTTTTCTAGAGAGTAGGCTACACATCAGACCGGCCTAGAAGTCGTACCTTATAGTCGGTAACAGAGTTCGGAGAAACGTTGGCACAAGTAACCGAACTGCTGGAACATTTGCGTATTTATATATCCACACACACATATAATATATATGTCATATATATTATATATATATAGATGTCGTTCGGCTTTGTTGACCTATCTTGTCGTTAGAAGATAATTCGATGACGTTACTATATAGAGATGGTACAATGGTCGATAGCACTAGTGCGTAGTAGATGATAGTTACGTAGAATAGTGCGAGAGTGGATCGTCCAGTTTGGTCGGGTGTTCTTATGAGTGTGCGTGAATGTACTATTCGCGTGTTCTACGCGAGTGTGAACTAATTCCCTTCAAGTAACCCACCTCGCAGCCTGCTACCGTGTGCAATAGTAATTCCCGTGGCAACGGCTCCGGGGGGCCGGGATTAGACAACCACTGGAATTTTGACTGGACATTAGTCTTAGACGCCAATTAGAACGCGAGAACGCATCTGGCGCGTAGTATAGTTTTTGGTTCGTCTGTTGACAACAGTGCGATCTTTTTCTCTAACTATCATAAATGGAGTTCGGAGGGCTTCCTCGAGTTCGACCGTTTCCTGGGCTTCGCCGTCTGCACAATTCCCATCTGGTCAAAATGCTAATTTTTCATTCGGAACTGATGACGAATTTAAATTAGTGCGGGCAAAAATCTAATTTCCCCCTTACGGGTCTCTCATTCCATGTGGAGTTATTTCACGTTATTAGTCCATTTACAACATCAGGCTCCTATTTTCATTTTACAGCCATATTGAAATCGAAAAAACCAAACTCCCTGGTTGCCCGGTACAAAATTGAACAATTTCGTATCATACTATTTCTAACAAGGAAAGTACCCGAGGTGTACCTCGCCGATTTTCTTCATTCTGTGATATGTTATAGTAGATGAAAAAACATTACAGAGGTATTTTTTTATACGTGCTAACTCCGCGATTTAAGGGGTGAAATGAACCCTTAAATGAATATGTGAAGACTGTATCGGATGAAGTCATTAGAATCACTATAAGGCGAAAAGAAATATTATTTCAACTTAAATCAGCCCAACATGACAACCTACGTCTTCTCATGAGATTAATGTGGAAAAACTTCACTTATTGAAATAACTCGATTATAAGTGGTTCCACGCATTTAGAAACCACGTGCTCTGCTTTCATATAACTTAACAGAGAAATTGCGCAGACTCAGAAGGAAAAACGTCAAACATAAAGGGATCTTCTCCTGTCTCCAGCCATGAGTAACATTTGATCAGTTGATTACGTGTGTAGACTAGGCTGTGTGTGTGTGTGTGGGTGTGCGTGCGTGTGTGTCGAAAGTTTCATGGACACACACATATATATATATATATTGTTTCCTTTGGCGACCCTTTGCCGGACCTTTCTCTCGCCGGCATGGAGGAATCCCGCAATCGATCGCCGATCAACGTACGTACGATGTGTTGCCGGACTTTGTGCATTTCCCATTCCGCCCGGCGGGTGGAGTGGAGGGATTCCCGCCACCCTTATCCGAGCCTAAATCGCGCTCTCTCATATGCCGGCTGGAAATATACTCGAAATAGATGAACTTTTGGCCCATTTATCCCGTCGCGATCGCCATTTGCCGATAGTAAAACAGCTACCGCTATTTTAATCGAAAGCCGCGCCATCTTGGCCGAACAAAGAGCTCGGAACCCTCGGAAGACGCGAATTTCCCCATGGCTGAAACAACGGCTGTCGGGATTCGACGCAGAACCCAAAAGCACCGGCATGAAGTTGGGATATAGTAAATGTACCAGTAGCTGTTCATGCCTCAGTAGCTGACCATCAAAGGACGATACGTTACCCTAGAATTGAAGTACCTGCATTCTGTCATGTTTAACGGAGATGATTTTCCAAAGTCCTGTACCGCTGTCCGAATCAATTATATTTACTTTGTATTGCTTTATTTGTATTGCTTGTTTCGTCCATATGGAGTCGATTTAAAGGGTTTGTGGGGGAATGAATACCTTTGTTTGCGCGTAGAGCGGATTTAGAGTGTATGACAAATGAATGGCAGAGGTGCAGCGTATCACTTCCATATGTACATTGTTAAGTGGTATTGGATTTCCTCTTATCGGCGAAATCCTCTTGAAAAATTAATTCGAACACCTTGTTTACCGAATGCCGGGGGAGCAATAGGTCCTGAGGTGGTCTACAGTGAAGTTGACCAATCCTATCGTGGGTTTCGTGAATAGGGAGGAGCCCATATGTGTATTTCGGTAATGTGCTACGTTCCGACCCATTTGGCTGTAGTTGTTACTATGGAGGCTTGTGAATTAATAGCTTTAAGTACCTAGGTCCGTTTTTCCTGGATTCACCCTATTGGCCGATACACCGGTGATTGATCAACTTTAGTTGTTAAGCATCTCAGAGATTACTAATCATTTGAGACTTCGGAAAACGGGATTTTTTTTCATTTTTCAGGAGGAATTCGCGAGCGCAAAATATCCTAAAATTGTTAAATCAAGAGTTATATAGAAATACGTACTTCAATATACACGAATACTATGTGTTTCCACTCGTTTCTAGAGCGCAAAATAAGTGGAAATGGTACATTATTTTAAACCGCTGTAATAACGCCAAAATTCCGAAGAATGATATAAACATTTCTTATTTTCAATTTCATCGTGAAAAGTATCTCGGAATAGTATTAATCGTTCCAATAGACTGGTGAAAATCCAGATCGGTGTCTAAACAATTACCGGGAGGATGCTTAACCTCACTTTAATTAACTACAGTCTTGATGTAGTTGTTCCCCGAAGTGAATTTCGAACAGAATAACTGAAATTCCTGTAAATAATGTTTCAAAGGATATCACATTATTCCGTACCACCGCCAATAACTTTTCGAAAAAATCCTTTCCATTATTCCACGCAAAACAATGCCCTGCATAGATTCCCAACCTTTGAAACACATCACCCGACACTTTCGTCGACTTTAAATATCATTCCATTATAAAGTTCTTTTTTACCAAAGTATCAAGTATTATTAAGGTTAAATAGCCGCAAGGTCCAAAGCACTAGCCGAACACTAAAAAACAAATTAAACTATTTTTGTTGGTACGGGGTATATTTTTTACTCTTCTACGAATGAAAAAAATATATCATTCGCGTCTGTTTTGGAATCTGCAAAACAATGCCTAGCAACACATCGTACGACCTGTCGGTTGCGATCGAATGTAGATTTGCATAAATAAAGGAATGCTCCTCGAGAGACAAGGAATGCACCACGAAAATCTTGCCTCGCATTCGTGGACCAGTTGTGACCAATATTTTGTGTTTCAGTGGATCTAACCAACGGGCAACTCACCCCCAACAACAACACACCCTTGCTCACGCAAGCGCTCTCTGGTATGTTCAACGTTCTATTTAGCGCTATTGCGCACTTTTTATGTGCATTGCGATCCAATTGCTCGCGATAATTGCATGATAACTCTGTTATATTGGACTTGTCAGGTTTCCAAATTAGCGCCTCAGGCGCTGGCCTAACAATGGACCCAGAAGTAAAAAACAATACTCCTAGAGGTCCTCTAATAAGAGTCTGGAGATGACATTCAAAGAGACATTGGGTACAAATTCACCTATATTGATATACAATCGACAAATTATATCGGTCAGAATCAACGTCTCATGAAGCAACTGCGTATCCACCTATTTAAGATCGACACGATTTTTGGTTCCCACAAGGTTTAATACAGAAAGGATTGTTATATGCAACAATTGTTGGCAAAAATAGTTAGGAAGCAATATTTAGATAGGACATCGTATTTTTCAATAATGGCTGAAAGTTCAAGTATGACCTTACTGGTTACTATGGCAGTAGTATGACTCAACGTCAGCGCAGGCGCAGGAATCAAGCAAATCTAAATATGACTCCCAATTTCAGACCAAACTCTTTTTAGAGAATATCTACGTAGCAATTTAGGCAAGTGTAAACAAATTGACGTAGGATACCGTAACCATAAAATATGTCCAATTAATTGCATTTATACCAGTCCAGTATACAGGTCCGCCGTCAATTTATTTACCATTGCACCTCCACAGGGTAACTATATTAAAATTCGGATCTCAAAACCCGTGACTGCTGCGTTTACTGTGGATGAAAATTAAATATACCCGTAGCAAGTTATATTCATATGAATTAATTTAATGGGTTACATTTTATCGTATAGTCGAAACCATAAGGTATTGTGACTGGTGTAAAAAACCCAAAGCATTAACTGTAGGCCAATGCCTTAAAAGAATATACAAATCTATTTCCTATGCATGATTGTGAATCCTACTAAACAGGTATTTCCATGACCAATGCAAGTAAATTTGGTTCTTAATACCGGACCAATTTTTTCTGAGCACTTCCTGAACGGTAAGATTTTCACTTAAAGAGAAAGCAGTTTAATAGCTCTCGGCTAAAATATCGGATAGCCGAGTTTTTCTACAGTTACCCGAATACGCGGCTCGCCGCGAGCGGCATTTCCAATATGACGGAGTCGAGTATCTCGACATTCGAAGCTAAACCGATTATCATCCACATCTCGAAACGAAGAGAAAGACCGGCCCGAGGGAGATAATCGAATCGTGAGCGACCACTCGACGGAAATAAGGGGACAGGATTTTCCGGCGCATTACCGCAAGCCCGAAATTCCTCGAAGGAATCCGCGGCAGTGCGGTGCGCCGGCAATTCCGTCGGCAATGTCGCTCCCTGCCGCCCATCCCCTTCCTCTCTACCTCTTTTTCACTTTTCCGCGCTTTTTCTCCCTCGGCTTCCCTCGAGTCCCTATCTCTCCGTCCTCCCGCACTTCTTCACTCTGCCTCTCGCAATCTTCCCTCAAATAAATCAAACTTTTGAATCGCGCCACCCAACCTCCCCGAGGCACCGGTAGAAAACTTTGTAACCGGCCGCCATTGTCAAGAGTTTAAAAGCTGAATGGGTTTTTAGATTGCGCGTCGCGCGTTCGGTTTGTCATCGAGCGTCTCAAAGTTGCTGGGCCTCGCATTTTCCCCGCCGTCTCTTTCCCTCCCTATCCCTTTCATCCCTTGAAATATATCGCCCCGTCCGTATCTCTACCTCTCTCTCTTTCTAGTTTGCGAGCTTTTCCCCACGTGGCAGCATGCAGTGTGTTCCGTAACCCGACTAACACGTATCTGGCTCGCGGACGTACAGAAACGCCATTTCGCGTCAGCGTTTCCGAGGAATAAAGGAAATACCGGGAATCGAAAGAATTTATAAAACGCGACTTCAAGGGGAATCGTCTTGCTGGGATTGACCAAGTGTTGTCTGGGAAATAACCGAATACGTGGGAATCGGTTTGAAGATATTTCCATCGGTTGAGAATGCATGATCATCTGCATAACTGCGCTCTCGAGTAACCATCTTTGGGAAAAGATAAAGTGCATGTCGGTTTTCAGTTATTCGTTACCGCTGATTGTTTTCGGTAAGGGGAAATTCTCGTCAAGATGCGTTTAGTCGGGCTGGGTATCTCTGCAGGTAGAAGTAACTGATTTTTTAATTTATTCTATGGCTTTTCGGATAGTCTTGAAATTTATGGAAGAGAAAATTACGAAGGCTTATCGGGATATTAGATTCATTTGTCAGGATACGAACAATGACTAGCCTTTCTGTTTCTTTCAATTAAAGCGTGATTACAACGAATATCGTAAAGGGCAACTGCTATTCTTAATGGGTTCTGAAATTAATCCCATTTCATTTCAGTGTCTTCAAAAAAATGGTTTACGAAAGGTAGTTCATTTTGGAGGTGATCGGTACGCTTCGACTCTTTCGTTCTTCAAAGTTCCCCAGATTTCTGAAATCCAATTTTCCCGTCAAATAGGGTCAAACCTTCAAGGAGGAAATGTAAATCCCGGTTAGAAATTCAGGCCAGTCATGTTGAAAATCAGTAAAATATTAAACCTGGACCGATACTTGTATGAAACATAACACAACGCATCCGACAGATACGACAATGCCCGACCCGAAAGATGTTGCAAGTGCGTCGGCTGAGATAAAAAAAAATGTCAAAAGCATACCTGCCGCATCTGGAATAAGACAACGCTAGGTCAGATCATCATCAGACCGGACCAGATCCAATCGAAGCAAACATATTACTTCTTTTAGGCATAACTACACTTTATCCCTCTCTGATCTTATTTGATGGATTAAGTGGAGCCATGTCTATAAAACATAATATATGTCAGTCGGATCTGGTATAGTCCGGTTTGACCTGGTCCGATCCAAACGAATCTGATCGCCTGTGACGTAACCATACCCTAATGCACACACCAGACATGTCCAACGGCACAGACAAACGTACTGCAGCAGACGCAGGTGTTGTGGCCAAAGTGACAAATGCGAATACAGTGAATAATACCTCTAGCCGATTTTATCGATAATGCCCAGGAAGTATTCACAATACCTCCTTTATCGCTTTGCCTATAACATAAACCCTATCGCCAACATATCACATTTCGCCAACGATATACAAAACGGATCTGATCCGGACACATCCGTCGTTGGCATAGCAGACGTCGCAAGAACAACCACCCTAAACAAAACAGACTCGACCAGACGGTAGGCGTCATCGTTACGACATCCATGACTGGCGTGACGAGAACGGCTCGGACGAGGTAAGCGACGGGCACGATAGGTCTGACTCAGGGACGTTCGTTGCAGTGATGAACAACTACCAGGCGGCAGCGCAAGCCGGGTTCCCACCGGCATCGCCGCACGGGGCCGGCGGGCACGGCGGACCGCAGGGCCGCTCGTTTCCCGCGGCCAACTCGCCCGGGCCCATTGACATGTACAGTTCGAGCGCAGCAGCCGCCGCAGCAGCAGCAGCCGCGGACTCCGCCGTCGCCAGCTACGTCCAGGCCGCAGCTAGTCCGCAGCCCCCCACCACCGCGTTTCCCGCGATTGCCGTCTCCCGCGCCCCGCTCAACTACAGTCCCGTAAGTCCGACGCCACCTGCTGGCCCAAGTCAGAAGTAGTCCCCGTTCTTGCTGGTATATTTATAGTTACTGTTTTGCGAGGTACCTATTAAGACCTTTAGGGAGTTAATAGGTCGTGAAATGGGTTTTAATTAATGGGAGTTTAAGGAAGAATGAAATGTTTACGGGGCTGTTTCATTTGATACTTTGCGAAGAAGTAGGGGTAAGAAAAGTATTACAGTCTTTCAAAATGTCGGACTTGTAGGGACTAAAAATTTCGGATTCTCTTTCACGGTGCGTTTGATTCCGGGAGAACGGTAAGTCTGATACAGAAAGTTCTGGTAGTTTTAGAAACTAGAGGAGGATTATTTAAGAATCGATGGCGGGAACTTTTGACGAAACTTCTTTTTATCAAAGCTGCCGGTAATTAAAGTGCAAAAGGCACTGATAAAAGTATCACTGCAATCTGAATTTCCTTTTCATCGAGAAATCTCGCCATCGGTTCTTAAATATTCTTCTCTAATTTCTAAATCCACTTTAACTTCTTGTTTCAAACTTGCCGTTCCGGAATCATGGGTACTGTGAAAAAAGGCATCGGAGATTTCCAGTTTCCATAAGTTGCCCAATTTGGTATTTATTATTTATTATTTGGTACACATAAAATTGTCTTGACACGGAAAAGCAATGGCAATGGCACTTTTAAATGCTTGTGATAATATCAGTTCAAAGTTATAATCTGAAAAAAAAACAGTGTGTGGTGTGGACCTCTAAAGGTTTATTGAATGTTGACCGGTGACAGGGAGATCTGTCCACCTTGAGGCTAACCGTACTAACAGCACAATGAGCAACCTATTTTCCTGTGTGCCTGGTAAATTAATGGCGCCTTTCCCTGTGCCGAATAGCATAATTTCATAGTTGAGAAAAATTGTACTAACGCTTATGTACTTGCCGATGTTTCAGGGTCCTCTGATACCAGCGGCATTCACTAATGGCTACCATTGAGCCTCGTTAAGACCTAACGACAGGTACGTACTATTTCCCCTCGTCGTATCCCTGATTTTCGAACTTCTTCCCGAAAACTCAGTAAATATATTCATCGGAATGCTAATATACTTTTACGTGGCCACCTGATTTCGGGGTAATATGTTTGCACTGCGTGTTCTACTGTCTTCCTCTGAACATAGTTTATGTTCTCTAGAAGGGATTGCTGAATACGAAATAGGCTAATTTAAATTCTCCCGAAGGAGGGAATGGGGAGAAAATGAAGACCATGAGAATTTCAAATGAGTTCGAATTGAATGTGATAATTAAAGTTTCGTTACTCCTGCGAAATAACTGAACAATAAGAAACTCTCAGGGCCTTTTCCTTAACGCAACGCTTAATCGCAATGCTTAATGCAACGCTTATTTCGTGTACTTTCTTGACATTTTCTAGGAGTCAAAATTATTAATAACTTCTGATAGGAAAACATTTTTATAATATTATTATAACCCAATACTGTGCGTCGCAGTAAATTCAAAATATTTTGCCTCTATCAATGCCACAATGCAACTGAGAGGAATGCACTGAAGTAAATAGTGACCTATCATTTCAAATCAATTGATTACAATTCGCCCACGGCAATGTACAATTTAAAAATGACCATCTAATTGAATTTGAAAAAATGACCATCAAATTGACTTTTGAAAAAAGGAAATTTCCCGTAAAATGCTACTGAAATGGTAAGAACCCAATTAAAGTGCATAGACAATTTAAAAACAAGTTTCAAACGAACAAAGAAAACTTCTTTGGGACACCTTATATACTGTACTACTATACATAACATCACATAATTCCTGAAATATACACAATTACTTAAGCATTTTAAGAGAGGTACAATTTCATAACAGAAATAAAAATTCCTATACATTAAGCTTTCTGGAATTATGAGATTCTTATTTATTCGCGTAATATATTTTTAACGTGTATACGCTCGTAGAAAAAAAAAAATTCGTTCAACCGAGAGAATAATCATTTGATTGACTGCATTTTTACTAACTAAGTATTTTTTGTCGTGAGGATGCTTACATAATGTTTCCATCTCTTTCGGGTCCTAGAAGGTACTGCTCTCCAAGCGGATGTAGGGTTCCCTTAACCTGAAAATTAGCCTGTTTCCGATACTAAATTCCCCATTGATTTTTGCCCAGGATGGACGAGAGGGCGATGCGCGGCACGGTCGACTGACGGCATTACACGGAACGCGGATCCTCGGTACTAACGTAACGACTGGCATCTTCTGCATAGAAGTCGAATCGAGGAAAGCCAAACTTAAGAAGACGGAAAGGGACGTCGAGATGCCCGAATTTCGATTTCCCGAGGTAATCGCGCGCCTGTCCAAGCGTGGAGAACGAGAGATAGAGAGAGTGGAACTGCGGTGCGCGGCGGCGTGAGCGAGGAAGAGGAGAGTAAATGCAGGACCAGCTTCGCGAGAATCCCGGAAGATGGCGCTCCACCGTTGGAGTGAGATAGGAACAGTGTCCAACACGCGTCCGGGCGGAAAAGTGAGAGGAGAGAATAGGAGAGATGGACAAACAGGTAGGAAAAGGGAACGAGACAGAGAATGAATTGAAAGAAGGCGACAAAGAGAAAGAAAAGGAAAGAGAAACGACATGAGCTCGGCCGCGGCCGAACCTGCAAATGGCGCCAGCCCGTTCTCCGACATTAATAAATAATAATATAACGATTAATTAAATTAATAATTATTAATTGATATATATATATTAACGGTTAAGTCTATAATATATATTATATATATATGATAAATAATTGATATTTACTAGATAACATATGATTATAGCGTTTAAGTGGAAGCAGGTTATACCGAGTCATTCACGGTCGCGTTACGTTGGCGAAGTGGGGCGCGCGGAAGCGAGCAAATGGCGCCCGGGAAAAGGATCTTTCTCGAAACAGTGGAGACGTCGATGCAAGAGAACGCGGACAACCGAGTTTAGGGATAATTAAGAGCTGTCGGTACCGCATATAACTGTGAACGGATGTTTCCCCTCGGATCGCAATGGAATTTGCCGATTTCCTTGAATCCACTCGCGCCAAGCGCTGCGTGGACCGGAATTGGTCAAAACCTCGAGGGGAATGGCCTCGTTTGCATCGCGTGTATCCCCCACACAGTACGTGGAATGATCTGCACTGTAAAAAGACAGTTCGATGTTAAGTCCAAGTCCAAACAATTTGTTACATTTTGGACGGAACGTCCTACGTGAATTTGGCCTGCTTTACCATGTAATATTAACACCAACTGATGCTAAATTTATATAAAATGAACACGATACTTGATCGCAGATTATTTGGGCTTGGGTTGACTTTTTAACATTCGTGGTTCTAACGGCGAATGTTTCTCAGCGTCAAATTCAATGACAATTCTCTGGCACTTGAGTAGGAATTATTTCTCTTTTTTTACCGTGGAATCAGGAATCCGATGTTCATAGACCACGCGTTTTACATTTTCCTTCACATTGTACATTTTACAAACGTTTTATGAGCATGTTCTGTACAGCGCCTAGTAGAATGCGCGTTTAACTTTCTTCGTAATATAGCACGACAATTACGGAACATTCTAATAACGACGATGTGTACAATATGTCTGTACTTGTACGGGGTATTCGTTCGTGACACCCTGCACGACTGGGTAATAGGTTTACTGCACATTTATCGTATGGTTGCTTAAACAATGGTACGCTTTGCATCGTATGAAAAATGAATATATTTGTAAAAAGAATGTTTAGCGCCCCTCTAATTACGGGAATATAAGAGGGTGCTCTTTTTGATGACAACAATTTTATTATTACAAAGAATGAGACAACGACGTACTATAGGCACTAGGAGCCTCATCTTTCTCGTGATTTTCGACATTTTCAAAGAGTTTCTTCGTAACAAGAATACCCGTACTGTGTAGGTGGAAACGCTTATTGCAAATTAGGACCGCCGAAACTTCCAATCGACGATGCCATCTTTCCCGGGCATGCAGGGACGCTATTACACTTACACGCGTTACACCTTTGGTGTCGCCCACCTCACAGGGAGATAAGGAAAACTTCGAGGGATAGATGAAACAGCAGGAAGGAACAACAATAATTGAATATAATAATTAAAGAATAACTTAATGGTAGCTATGGTAACAATAACAGTCCACAGTCGCAAGATCGGCTGGACTTGGATCCGCGATCGAAATGGCGAATTCGATTATTCGAGCTTTCTCGCCAGTTCAAAGTTAAGACTGGACACTTTTTCCAGCAGGATAAAAGAATATAAAAAAATATATAAAACACAAAAATCATTAAACACGGCTTCTCCGGTGCAGATAAGAAAATGGCTGACACAAATAGGGGAATGAGTCCAATAATTTCATGAACAGTTTTCCTTTAGCGGTTTTTTTTTCAATTTCTACAAAAATACAGTTATTATGTAATTGGACGTGATGATACGTTTAAAGAATAATGACACAGCAAGTTATAGACGTCATGTTAAGTCGGAAATATTATCTCTCATGTAATTTGTTTTCACAGTGTGCCCGATTTTACTTGATATACCGTTTACCTCATTCCACGTGTTTGCCGGAAAATTGTATTCATCAACTTCTGTCCTATTGTGTCAGAAAAAGTGACCAGCCTTATTTGAAGTCTTCCTCCTCTTCGTCTTACTTCCATAGGCCATTTTGTTTTTTGGTATACAGTAATAAGATATTCAATTTAACACGTGTTCATATGATGCAGTTTTATCATCTGTCTGGCAGAAATTTAATACACGTGATATTCTTCGGTAAAATTAAAACTTTATGTAAAAAGTTCAAATTTTATTAATTCCAAATTTCGAGCGATCATAATTGACATATTTTGACTTCAAGCAGTTCTTTTTTTTTTATCGTACATGCCGTTACATAGAAGACGAAGAGGGGAGAAGATACTGGCTCGGATGAAGTTCGAATTAAAATAAAATGAACGCTCTTAAGCGACAACCATCGTCGAATCAAGCTGTGCAGATTATTGGGAAATTATATTATGGCGGACCGATGAAGCCGCATAAGTACTCGTTAGGTAAATTAATCCCTACTGATTTGCGTAATACTGTTAATTAAATAATTGTCTGAGGATATCGCACCCAGTGTACCGCAGCACAGAGAATTACACCTTAATCTGAAGTTACTCGGTAAACTAATGATTTCTGGTACGTGGTAAAATTAGATAATTGATAAATCAAAATGTCGTCAAGTTTGTTGACAACAAAGGCATAAAGTCGATACAAAAATTGCGAGAATCTTTGCATTGGATTCGGCGTATGGATGATTGTTCATGTTAAAACCGTAACATTAACACTTGTTACTACCCTGAAACCATAACACGTCCCATCTATGATGGAGACAATACGATAATTTTTTCGGAACTGCAATCGCAGGAATTACAATGAACACTGATGACATTTTGAGACATTGAAATTCACGTACATAAAATTATATTTGTTAAACTTATCTTGGTACACAAGGGTGACACGTACTCGCCGGTTTTCATAAAATTTTGAAACATTCGCTGTTAAATGTGTATTTATTTTTTCATGTCCAGAAGTCTTCACTTAATCGCATAGCCAGGAATAGATCATTGCTATTTCACGCTGAAAGAATTTGCGCATATTCCACTGCGTGATCTACTTACCTGGACTTTAGGAAGTTTCATGGAATGAATTCATGTATGAAAATGTTTACAAATTTATCCAAGAATATGTTCTCGAAATTCGGAGAAATGGACATTAAATCGAAATGGGGAATTCAATTCAAAATACGATGCGTGTTAGTAGTACACTGACGATAAATTAAACGTAAAATTGTACAATGTACAAAACGATAATTGTGTGATTCGCCATCAATTAGAAATATTTTCTTAGAGTTCAATAATAAATATTCAACATTTGGATGCAATGGGCGCAATTCTTACGAAATTAACAGAATCGTTTTCCCGGATAATCAAAATGAAAACTGAATATTTTCTAAATCATTGCAATGACTATAATTTCTGTTAATTCCTAACATTGTTTCTCAAATTACATATAGAATATATTCGGGAGATTAATTAGAAGTGCAAAAAGATGTAATTACAGCAGTATTAAATGTACTAAAAATATTTGGAGATGAATACCTATTTAAGATCAAATATCTGAATTGAAAAATGTATAGCAATCATTCGTCAATTCTTGAAATCACATGACACGACGACTGAAGAATCACGCAATCACATTTTGTGATTGTTCATTGTAGAATTCTATGTTACTTTGTCGCAGTGTAACATCGATATCCACAGCAATTTCTTAACCTTAAAGCTTCGTGTAATTTCGGCAAGAGTCTCGGTGGAACACCAACGGTGGGTAATCGCTTGTGAGAAACGGGAGAATATTAAAAAATGACCCCTTTTCCATTACTTTTTCATTAACCAATGTGTATTTATTTGAAATGTCATCTCGCGATTTTTCGCGTTTCGTCGTTCATATTTATCACCACGTATTACAAATTTTTAACTCCTTTCTTTAAATTTTTTATAGATTCACCCTTTATTATGATAAATTTATCTGCAATTTGCAATATTATCATAAGCTGGGTTAATCTTAAGTCCATAAATATTTCTGCCATCGATGATTTCGAAGCCTTGTCACTGAACGATCGACGGAAACAGCGATTCGTTAATTAACATAATTTACAATCAACTAAGCAAATGCAAAAAAGAAGTAATATCAATACAAAAGAAAACCATTGGTTTCTTCCACAGTTATTTTACAACAAACTGCGCAATAAAATTCAGGGTGATCAAAATAATGAGAAAACCGAAAAGAGGAAGCTCCCGTTTCTCCAGCCTCGCTCACATCTCGTAGAAAATCAGCTTCTGTTGATACGATTATTACGAATGTTATGATTATTAAATTTGCAGATGACAAATGAGATTACTATAAATGAATATATGTACGATTGTCGTACGGTTATATTGTATTCAACAACAGGGTAACACTCTAAATTGGGATATGTGTTGGCGAATGGCGGCCATTTTGTTTAGTGGGTGAGCGCGACGTACAAGAAACAGTCAATTCATATGTACTAGAGCAATATCGTGCGATAATTACGAGCCACGGTGCGCAAATTATAGCGGAGGAAACGAGAAATAGCCTAACGCGTTTTGGACGGGTCGATTATACAGAAAAAGAAGATCGGTGCAAAAGAGATATCGAGGAGCAGCGATCGGACTGTGAATCGAGTCACTCGGGAGGCCGCGAGGAAAAACAAAATGGTGGCTACTCGGAACGCCCCAGTGCTAACGATTAAAGCATCTAAGGAGTCTTTACGTATTGGACCAAGCGTGATGTCGAGATAATTCCAGTCGAGACAGGGAATTGTACAGCCGCCAGTCCAGAAAAAAAAAAAAGTAACTAATAATAGGGAGCGCGCGTCTTCGGGAGTAGCGAAGCGTCAGGGGCCTGAGAGGCGAAAAGCAAGATGGCCGCCCGAAGATCTCGGACGGAAGGGGAAATGTTTGGGGGGTCGCGGGACGCGAGGTGAACCGGAAATAAGTGTGGTAATGGAATAATTAGGCGCGACAGCACTCAACGTTACACGTTTCACGAATGTTTATCGAAAAGCAATTATTCGTTAAGGGAACCCATAGAGCAAGAAACAAAGCCGCGTAGCAGTAGTAGTATCTTAAAAAGAGCCAAAAGAGATTTAAGGGGAGCCCCGTCGAAGGGAGACGAAGAGCAACAAAAGGATATAACACCAGTTCGAACAAAAAAATCGTAGTGACTGAAACTCGTCGTAGTTTTTAAGGGGGGCTCGGACCCAGGGAGATTTTAATGTTAAAAACCATGCCGGACCCTGGCTATACCAGCAGAGACCAGGGCTCGGGAAATCGGTGTCTCGCTTCCGAAATGTATCGACTTCTCCCTGATCCTAAAAGAGATCCTGCACAAGGCCGGCCTTCTTTTTCGAGCTACTTACTAGCTAATTCGAAAGTCTCGCTTTCGGGAGAAAGTGTATGTATATCGACGCGGATTTAACGGGACAGCGTGCCCCAGGGATGCTTCAGAGTTGCGGGGGGTTAGGACCCCGTACGAGCCCTTTACACACCAGATAAATAATTAATACTAATGAAATCATTAAATGCCGATCACGATCGACTAATTGGGGGAGAAGAGCTGTACCGTGAGGGGTAGGGATTTACGGGGAGGAGCGACGGAGTGAAGGATTATATATATACATATATATATATGTACCTACGCATATACATACACAAGGGTGTCACACCTCCATTCGACCCATGTTCGGTTTCACCCCCTCGAGGATCTTTTCTTAAAATCAATTCTCAATGTTTCTTTACATTTGGAAACCTATAGAGACACTAAGGACGTCTTACTCAAAGTCGAAAAGTTATCGCGGAACTATAAGTGCACGTTTGTTTCGATAGGATGTAACATCGATCATCGCAAACAAATGTACACGTTTCGGTACTCGGTGTGACAGAGTAGTAAATACTGCATCAAAGAATGAAAATGACGATTTTTGAGCAGTGAATGAAATCACTGAAACCTGTAATTTTATTATCGATACGATGTATGCTTTAGAATTAAGTTAGGCCCAGTTAAATGTTTGTTTCGATTGTAGTTTTGAAACCAAAATTTTATTTTGAGCGATACCGCGAAATGGCACTTTAAGAGCGACTCGATGACATGTGGCCCGTTCGATGATTTTAACTTCAACTTCCCCAGTATAAATTGGGACTGGAATAATCCGGTACTTGCAAAAACAGTAATGGGCCCTGGCCGAGGGGAGTTTTAACTCTCTTCTAACGTGGCAACTTTTTAAAATACATGAATTATATATTCTGTCACTTTCTATCGAGAGAACAGAGTTTGGAACGAAGTAACCTTCTTAAAAGCGAACTCCTCGGTACGAGCTGAAGTTTCAAACTCTTCTCCCGGAAGTAAAATTTTCCACCGACGCTCTCATAGTTAATTAATTCCCATGCAAATCCTTCATCAACAAGTAAAGTCAAACGTACCGTCGAGCTTCAGCTCGTTGTTACGTCTGAAGTTAGCGGCCCGAATTTCAAGGTTTCAGAGATTTCATGTCTCGCTTCTAGGAACGGAAGAGAAAAGGAAATGTCAGCACTTATGGTTGAAAATGTTCATTCTCTCCCTCGATTATTTTCAAAGCTCGAATCACCCCTGGTGACACGCTCCCTTTGTGGAGGACTTGGCGCAAAAGCTGAAGGAGAGCTCTTCGCGACTCCACGAGTAGCCCGAAGAGCTGTTCCTGCCTCCTCGATGGCGAGCGATGCATACAGAGAGAAGTCATCTCAAGGAAGTAGAACCACGTATAACGAGTGTTTATTAAACCAGAGAGTTCACACCTCGAGAACCTGACACTGAATTGGGGAAAGATCGGCGAGGAGCGAAACGTGCCCCTAGGTTTAATGGAGGTGCTCCATATATAGCGCCATATATACATATGGCCTATATCTACTTCTAGCATAATGAATTAAATAAATGAAAAAGAAGTATATAATTAACGACTACGCGAGATAACGACTATGAAGATGAGATATTGAGAGATCGTTTTATGCATTTGTATATAATTATTGAAGTTTTAAAGCGAATATACTGTACTATAATTAACGACCGATTGATCGCACGAGGGGCACGGTTGTGTTTGACGCGCGGCGCGGACGGGTTTCCGTTTCGTTGCGTTTTCACGGGGTAATTTGAGAGAGAGAGAGAGGCAGGAGGAGGACGGTAGAGGAGCGAAGAACGGGGAGGAAAGGTGGAGGAACGAGTCGGGGTAAAACGCGGAGGACGAATATCGGGCGGAAAGCGAGAAAGGGATTCGACAGAAAAGACGACATCGATCGTCCACCCTCGTGCTCGGCCAGCCCTCTACGCTCGTACGTATAGTGATAATCGATGTATCCGAGGAGCGAAACCGGAAGTCACTTGGCACCGGCCCTTTCGACAAATCTGTAAAGCAAGTCCCTTCCGGAACGGCGGCGATGCCAGGTGACGTCCCGGCACCTAAGAGTAGATTCTTTGTGGCTTTCTGGGAACGGTGCGCCCGGGCGGGATGAACGCCGTTTCGAGCGAAATATATTTACCTATAAGTATATTATATATACTTATATTTATCATTGTATTTATAACTACGTTCATAGTTATATTTGTATTTATATTACCGAGGTACGTTTCTTCGACTTGCATAGACGGATGTACGCGGAAGAGGAAGCGGAGACTATTGCAGCCCACTTTGTGCGTCGGTTGTACGCAAAATATGGAAAGAGCGTTGGAATCGTTTCCGCCCTCTGATCATTTCATTGTTTTCCTCCGCGCGGCACTTATTCCGTAAAATAAGTCGCCCTTTCGAAGATGTAACTCCGTAACACTAAATACTAGGAAGAGTTAACCAAATTGTACCGCGATTTTCCCGAAGCTTTACGTAAAGGTTGACAATCTGATTTCTGACGTACTTTTCGTTTCCGTCTACTAAAGGTAACGGCGTAAGATGAGCTTAACGAATCGCCCTTATACGATATAAGGAGTGTACACGTACCAGCAATTTATTGGCAGAATGTCCGTTCTGCGAAGTTTCCTGTCTCAATTCTCCTCGTTAACGTCGTTCGATAAGTCAACGTCTTAAGATGTTCTCGTCTCATCTCGTTCAATAAGGCAAGATCGATCTAAAATATCTTGCCTGCCTTGTTTCCGCGTTTATCCTCGAAAATCAGTTACGCGAAGCTAGACATTGCGTTAACGAACTCTCTCATACGGCATGACGCGTCTACTTTATCCGACAATTTTACGTTAAACGGTTAATAAACCCATAACGTTAATACACTAATCTCTGACTTCGTTAACTTTTCATCACCTAACTTTACCAACTACTGTGCACTGCGGGACTGCAATTGCAGTTCCCCTGCGATTCGCAGTAAAATTAACGATACTATATTACTAATAACACCGTACTCACGTTACTTTAAGCATTTTCTCAGACAATTACCGTAATACGATAGAGTTCTCCCACGAGATATGCAGAAACCGTGGTTCGGTACTCCGACCCCGGAGTGAGTTTTCCAGCGTAACTTTTCCGTGTCTAAGGGCACTTTTAGTAAATACTGTTGTTGTTGAAGAAGAAAAATTAGAATAAATAACAATAGATTAAAGCCTGTTCCCTCCGTGCGGGCGCATATCGTTCCGACCACGAAGAGGGCCTCGTGTACGGTGTACACAGCCTTAAAGCGAGGGGAGAATGGCACGGCCCGTGCTTTTAGTCGATTAGTAAAGAGGGCACTTAGGACCTGTCGCATAAATGGCGTCGAGACGAGGCGACGACGACGACGTTCGTTATAAGAAACCCGCTTGCATCTTGCAGTCGCCGCTTTTTATGGCGCGACGAGCGGTTTAGTACGTATAGGATTATGCGAATTATATTTAAGGACGACACTTCGTACCGGATCTGTACTTGATTCGCGAAGGAAAGTCGAGAGCTGTCGAGAAAGAGACCGTAAAAGGAGACGTCGACGACATCTTGAAGTTTCCTCAAAAACATATTTATAACGGAATCGGACTTTAGGAGACCTTCTGTAACCTTCTGGAACAAAAATTCATCCATTCGGTGAAAGTTTAGGCATAGGAAAAAAAGGTGTTTCCGGTATGAGAAACGTCCTTCCTATTGAACATCTTTTAAGTTTCATATTCTTTCCTTTCTCTAGAACTACAGGCATAAGCAACGCCCTTTTTACGTCAGTCCTCTTATACGGCAAGAGAAAGACTTAGAACTAAGCCGGATTGTATTTCATTTCATGTAAACTTTTTGTCTTTAAACGGACTTTCTAATTCTTTTGGCAGTGATATTTTCACTCGGACTAAAGCATCCAATGGAACGATACGGACTTGTAGGATCGCGATGCAACAGAGAGCGATAACAAATAGGTGTTCATTTAGAGTGTGCCTCTTCTTCGCGGTTTTTCAATCCGAAATATCTACCGAAGCAGTAGGATATTCCGCCGAAACCGACCGCTTCCGAGGGTAAGGTATCCCAATATGGCGGACCTGAAAACTCGGAACATTTCCACGTCGAGCAAGTCTGACTTTTCTTCGCGAATTAAAAACTTCTCTCCCTGCATGTAAGGACGGTCGAACAGCTCGGACTCGAGCGCGATCTCTTTCCTTTGTCTAGTGCGAGTCGAACATCTCTCGATTCGTTCCATTCGGGCCCTCTCTTTCGTCTTTTCGGTTTCCGTCCTGACTTTCCAATTTCGTGCAGATTAGGTTTAACGTCATGGTGTAAAACTGAGGTCAGGTCTCCCGGGACGTCCGGACGAGATGCGCCTCGCGTTCCTCCATGATCCTCGAAAGAAAAAAAAAATAAGCTTCTCGTGTATCAGGGCTCGCGCTGCCTCTATTAGCAATGTTTGCATGTGCACGTGTTCATATATAACCCCACCAGGTAGCGCTCGAGTTCCCTCGCCGAAGCGATTTCGTCAACGATACGTAGAAACTGTTAAAAGAGATGACTCTGTGACAAAAGTTGCACATTATGCGGCGGCATGTCGCCCTCTGGGACAGAGGATTGCGTTGTGCGCCAGAGTCGTTTTGCAATTAACGGCTCGCCCATGAAAAAAATGCTTAAAGCCTTGCCATTAGGTTTACTCGAGTTAGCTGCACCTTTACTCTTACTGCACACTTTCGCCAAGCTGGGCGTTGGATTAGACGTCAAAGGCGGCTCTTTCGATCACAAGTGCAATAACATGTTTATGCTTTTAAGTACAAAAGTGTATCACTTTCTGCACTCGACCTCGAGATGCAACGGGAACAGAAGTTATCCTCTAGTATCGCTAAGTGTCAGGTAATTATATGCACCCTACCGAGAAAGAGAAATTATTCCTTCTATTTAATTTTCATTTAACTAGTTTCAGGGGAAGTTTAAAATCTTAATATTGGTCTTTCGGAAGTTTCCGGTGTTCGGGATGGCCGAAGAAAGTGTATCTACACTTTTGTACGTGTAAAAAAAGAATAAAAAATTGTAGCGCAGTGAATTACATTCGTTAGACTCGAGTTCAAAAAGTGCAGGTAATTCGAAGAAACCTATTATTCGCTGGCGTTACGAACAACATACGATAGACATGAATTGTGACATCTTAAGAGAGATGAAGATACAAAAAAGCAGTGAGTGTCTGGTGCCAGTGCACTTTGGGACGCAGCTTTAGCTGCCTTACGGTTGGGAAAACAATCTTCGCGCAAGCTCATAACGTCATTTATGAATGCTCTATTTCAAGAATATTTGTTGCACAATAGAAAGGATCAAGGGATAGGCAAGAAGAGAAAATGAACGCAGATATGAAAAACTGGAATAAGAGGCGAGAAATACGACGGGTTATGTTCCACGTATCTTTTCCTTGCCATTTCTATTTTAAAAGCAACCGATTAAAAAAGCTCAATGGGTCTAACGTCGCGTAGTAAACTCGCGTGCCGAGATTAGATCCTTTTTATTATACTTTTGAACGGCAGTACATCATGCCTTTTTATTGTGCAACAAACAATGGGGATCACGACCGACCGTTTAATAGCGGTCTTTGATGAGATGGTTAGAAATGAGAGGTGGAACAATGAGCGAAGTGTGGTAGGCCCCATAAGCGGGTAGAAGCGATACATTATAAGGACTGCGCATGCGCGTATGAGTTGGAGTTTCGAGGTTTCGCCAAAAACATCCGAGCTCACAGCTTGAGTCCGCGTCGGCGTTCTTCCTTATTTCTAGAGAATTACACAGTTATCGGTATCGATACGGTAACTCATTCAGGGTCGAATCCAGGAAGTGCGTTAAGGAAGCGAAAGAGGTAGGCGGAAAAAGGAAATAAGACATGCGTTTAGGGAAAAAGTGTGCTCTTAAAGAACCAGCCACGTAACTAGATAGGCCATTTTTCACTATTTTCGCGATCATCCCTGGAACCGAGTTCGAAAACTTTCTTCTCGTACTCGCAGCTAACTCTAACCGGATGTAGGGAAATTAAGACCTTAAGTTGTTGACACTTCGAAATAAGGTAGAAAGAGGTAGAGCCGCACTCGCTGGGCATTTCGTCCGTTTCAAGTGTTGGTAACCGAGGTCTAATTCTAGGTACCGGGTTGCGCTCCGAAACTTTGGTCAGTTGGTACTCTTCTAACCACACTGTAAAAGAATAATCACAAAATAAACGTCGGGTCTGTCTCGAAAGGCACATCTTTTCGAATGTGACAAAATTGTCCTTAGTTGCAGTTGCTGTTAGCAAGAATATCAAAAAGCTGCGAAAACCTAATACGATGTCGGATCATCGAACAACAACGATTTTTACTATGTTTTACAAGATTTATGTTTACGA